ACTCAGCCCAGCACCGCCGTCTCTGCCTCCTTTGAGGATGGATGTTTTCAGGATTACATCCTGTTTACTTTTTTAAGGAAATTTTCTCATTTTCGTTTGTAAACAATTTAAAAGGAATGCTGTGCTTTGTGGAAAAGTGCAACATCTGAACAATAGGTACAGTAGTTGAGTCACTTTTTTATGTTTCTAACCCTACAAGGCACTTCTGCTGCTTTTCTTGTGTATGTTGTGTTCTCTCCTAGATGGATGCTGTCTTTCTGCCCAGCTGAAGTTTCTTTAGATCACAGCCACTTGCTTTTCTCCCGTTTAAATGTCAAGCTCTAGTGTATTGACAGCTCCAGGTGGTCGCTCCGTGGTCAGCATGCAGTGGCAGATTTTTGTTTACCCACGGAGTTCGTGGGGCTGGTTTAAAATGTGAGGGGAAGGCCCATTAGACTTCTGTTACTGCTATTTACTGTAAACCATAAACACTATTCATACAGATTCCTCTAAGCCTAAGAAAGGCAACTATATTCTTTAAGAGAAACGTCTCTTCTTTAAGAGGAAATTTCAGTCTGCGCAGTCACTTTTCTCACCCGTGTTCCTGCTCAGGCTTCCTCCCCGGGGAAAGCTGCCTTCCCTTCCTCCACCCTCTCCACTGCCCAGTCCACCCTCTGTGCTGCCCAGTCCACCCTCTGCACATGTCAGTAGCCCTCATCTCAAATGTCATTAAGAATCCCCTCTTCTTTGGATCTTTTTCCAAATCTCCCCAAGTTGGGTTGGCCATTCCCTCCCTGTGGCTCCCCTGTTCCTTGTAGCCTTAGTTCTGTCACAGCAGCAGCCAGCTCTCCCTGGACCTCCTTTATCTACATGCTGGTGTCTTTTTTTGTGAAAAGCCGAAGAAGCTTGCTGAGGGCAGGAACCCCGTCCTGGTGTCCTGCCTGGCTTGGCCCGCCTGGCCGAGCATGTCACTTGACCCATATTAACAGCTTAGCAGATGCTGGATGAATGGACGGTGCGTTCATCCCCAGTGTGAGGCCATGGGAGAGACAGCTGCATCCTCTCCTTCCCAGCGTGCTGTCTGCTTGTGCACACACACCACGTGCCTTCTGGGGCGTCAGGTGTCTGTGTTTCCTGCCTTTGGGGTACAACTGGCAGTCCGCCAGT